AAATGGTTTCACAACTTGTTTTGTTCATAATCTGATGCCCAGAACTTGGGTTCAATGATATCCATGGGTCGGTCTCTTCTTCGTTCGGGCCATTCATAGTATGTGTTCAACTCATCCCACGGGCCGTACGACTGGTAATCGGGCGGTCGCGGCAGGAGTTGACACTTCTGTGCCTTTTTCACCAACTGATGCACCCTTTGATGCATACGATTGCATAAACCGGTTATCGATTGCGGCATTTGTTTGCCATTGGATTCAATAAACTGTCTGAGAATCAGCACATCCTGCGGGACATCACAACAGTTATGAATGGACGACAAAATGGTTAGACGTTTACCGTATAGTCGAGTCGTCTTAAGTTGAGTCGACACAACGGACAGCAATCCTTATGTGTATGCGTTTTGGTCACCAATTGGTCCCTTCGGTCGGACACCACTTTCACGGCCTCAACGGTTATCGTGTTATCCTTTTCCGTGTGTTTGACTTCAAATGCAAATACAATACAAAATTCAATGAATTAATTATGAATACATGAAATGAATGAATGAATGCATACTTTCTTTCAACCGATTTACTGCCGAAACGCTTATATTTCTCGACAATATTTTCATAACATTTATGTTTGAAATTAAATGCAATTTATTTCTAATTAAATTCATTATTAGTTTTTGTTTTGAAATTTGTTTTTCAATTCAATTGCCATCAAAAACACACATGACTTGTGTCTCACGTTATCTCACAAAATGTCCACAAATAATGTCCGCAAAGTTTAGTCCCATTTATGATATGTTTGTAAAGCATTTGATTCGCAAATAGTGTATAGTTTTGTCTACTATTCCCCCCATATATGAGTCACACGTTATATATATTTCATTACCTAATAATCAAAACAAAAGTTATGTTTAAAAGGATTTTAAATGAATTAATGGTTTGTTTAATGATTTGAAGACATTGTCAACGATATAACGATGGACTCAAGAGTACGGCCGAAGACACTGACCGCTACTTCGCCCGCGAGAGGTACTAATGGCGCGGAGGATGTGTTTAGGGATGGTTTGGTTGATATGAATCAAGTGAAGCATATTCTTCGTGATCCAAGAGATCCCAAATCTCAACATCAGATGAAATCAATACTAAGACAATATGAAGAACAGAAGAGAAAAGCCAATACTATATCACGTCTTCATTTCACTCACAATTCAAGTCATAACTACAGAAACAATTGGTTTCAAAGCCCGACTCATGTCTCGCCAAATGATTGTCTAGATTTGGATCAATTGACAAACTTTGAGACAAAGTTTTCTCAATTGCCTCACGAGTTGTTGATTGAGATTTTGGGCGAAACTTTTGCTAAATATGAGCGACAGATGAATGACAGGAATGGACGACAAACTGATCGATCGGTTCCGCACTCGAGTACCGCTCGGGTTAAGGAAGAAGTTTTATCTGACAGCGAAGACGACTGTGTCATCATTGATGACAATCATGTGGTGACCGAATCCGCTGAAAGCCTTAAGGAGAAGATCAAGCAATTGATTACTCAATACGAAGACATTGAAAAGGAAGAGAAAGTGGTTTCTAATGATCTGAAATTAGTTTCCGAAGAATTAGAGACTAAATTGATAGCTCTTCGGGAGTGCATTGAGTGCTGCGAAACACTTAAACACCAAAACATTTGTATAAATGAAAAACATAATAATTTGAAGACTAAAAAACTTGAACTTAAAGATGAAATCAAAGAAATTAACGAAAAGTTAATGAAATTGAGTTTTAAGTCTCCAATGAAACGAGAAATGAGTGCTTTAGTGACCAATGATGTTGTCATTGAAGCCATGAGACCAGAAAATATTGATTCCAGTAATTTGCTAAACAATG